AAAAAATTCAACAAAATTGATTACACCTATCTCAAAAAAATCATTTACCAATACAACATTAATAACAAATCAAACTAATAACAACTCTAAATCTCATTCTAATATACTCTTTTCAATTATCTTCTCTAATTGCATTTTACTAACTGAAAATTTATTTTTATCAGATCTGAATGAAAAATTAAATTATTAGGGAGGCACTGACTCCCTAATTCAGTAAATATTTACTTCTAAAATTTATCAAATTAAGGTTTTTATAGAATATATTTACTTATAGGCAGATCGATGTTTATAGCAACATATCTCGATATATCACTATTGTTGAAAATTTTATATTAAGTTTTTTCTCTGTAAAAATTAAATCAACAATTAATAAAGATTACAATTTGAGAAGTGCCTTGCAAAAAAAAAAAGAAATAAATTTTATAAATTTTAAAATAAATTACTTGACTCAATATATTTATCATGCATAAATTTTTTTAATATATGATCTACATCACAAAATATTTTACTTTTTATTTAATAACCCAATAAAAAGGATTTTTTGCTTATATTTCTATTATTAAGAAAAAAATAGTAATTTAGAACTTTTAAACAAGATATCAATTACTTAATTTGAGTTAATATTTATCAATTTAGACTCCTATCTCCTCAAATAATGATTTTTTTAAAAAATATAATATTTTGTTTTTTTATATAACTTAATAAATAAGAATTTTTTATTAATAAATATATTTGTATAAAAAAAATAGATATTAAGATCAAATAAGATATAAAAATCTAAATTTAAATTAATATTCATAAAGTTAAATACCTATTTCGTGCAAATAATCATCATAAAATGTGAAAAAAAATTTTTTTTTTTAATTTTTTATCTATTTCGGATTATTAAGACAACTTTTATTATGACAAACCTATATTTTTCTAAAAGTTCTAGTTTTAGGTTACATAATTATAGTAAATTAAAAAAAATATATTGGTTTTTCATCGAGTTATTTTAGTTCAAAGTTGAATATTCAATAAGTGAATTTGTAAAAATAATTTTTGTATTTAATATTTTAACCAATTCTATACTACTGAAGCAATTTTTATTATTACAACTCTATATTTTTTTAAAAGTTCTGATATTTAGCTATCTAAAAGAGATGAGATATAAAGTAATAGATATGTTTCTATTGATATTAAACAATTTAAATTTGATATTATAACAAATTTGTTTTTGATAATTATAGATTTTAAAATTATACCAAATTAGATAATTGTGCTATTATCATATTATTTCAATATAATTGTATTAATTCAAAATTGCCAAAATCATGTAATTGCATCATATGTATTTAATTGCATCAAAATTATATAATTGCACTATAATTGTGCTATGTGTCACATTAATTGTGCCATTATAAAAATTTTAGATAATTGCATTATTAGTAAATTAATTTTTGTCACATGTATATTTAGAATCCATATGTTTAAATACTTTATATGTAAGGAAACAGGTAAACCTGTATACAAATAAGTCTTTGTATTTGCTTCTGTGGGTATTGAACTAAAAACATATATTTGAAAACTTGAAAACACTATTTACTGTGTTATTGATTTACAGGTCTGTGAATATTAAGTTTTATATTTATAATTAATTATTAATTACTATGTATAATTCTGTCTATTATACTTTAATAATAGAGTATAAATATAATTTTACTTTTTAATTATTATTAATAAACATTAATAAAAAATATAATATATGTATTAGATTATTAGATAGTAAATATAATATTAATTTTTATTTAAATTTAATAATAATTTAAAAAAATTCTAAAATTAAAAAAAAATCTGAAATCTGAAATCTGAAAAAAAAGAAAAACTTGAAATTTGAAAAAAAATCTAAAATAAATTCAAATTTAAAAAAAAATTTTGAAAACTGAAATTTGAAAACTAAATAAAAATAGCTTTAAATTTTTAAAAAAAAAAGTCAGTTAATCTGAAAAAAAAAATTGAAACTTGAAAAAATAATAAAAAAAAGTAATATTATATAATTATTTGATAAAGAAATTATATATTTAAATATACAGATTGGATTATAATTTTTTTTAATTAATTTTAATCAACCAATAATTTTCTAAAAAGATCAGAATTCTAATATAAACTATTTCAATTTGATGCAAAGTTTAAATTGTTATACTAGCTACAAATAATAAGAAAGATTGTGATGCAAGTTTATAATTTAAAATTTGAATAATAAAAAAAAAAATATTAGAACTAACTTATCTAATCAAGACTTTTTTCAACTTATCAAACTGAAGCAAGTAAGATAATTTAAAACTGGCAATATGATTTTTAACTTCTATTAATTTATTATTTGATATTATAAAATTAAATTTTTCAAATATTCAGATAGTTTAATATTAAAAAAATATAATATATTTATAGTCTTGAAAATTGAAATGAAACAGATTTATTTAAGCTTATATAAAATTTAAAATACTATCAAAATTGATAGTAAGTTATAATTTACATATTATATTTTATATTAATTTATATATATTATTGTGTAAAAATATTTGATATAATTTATATATCAATATATATAGATAATAAAGTTTTGTATTTAATAAATACCCTTTTACAATTTTAAAAAAACAAAAAAAAATTAAAGATTTATATCAGCTTGTAAAAAAAAATTAATTGGTTAATTATATCAAATGCAATCTTTATTAATCTTTGCAAAAAAAAACAATTATTAATCTACTTTTTATAAGATATGATTTTTAATAATTTGAAATAAATATATGTTTTCATAATATTTGAAAAATAAATTCATCAGAAAAAAATATTTTATTTTATTGTTTTTTTTCTATAAATTTGAATCCAAATAAAATAATATTGTTTAATATTTTTTTTAAAATTAAAGATTTTGATTAAAAACAATTCATGTTTATTACAAAGTTAAATAATAAAAAACAACTCAAAAAATCATTAAATATTTGAACAATAAAAATTAATTCAAAAAATTATTAAATATCTGTTTAAGGTACATATATAAATAATATTTTACAGTAAAGAAATTGTTGAATTTTTTATTTTTATATAAACTATGAATAATAATTTATATTATAAAATAATAATCAAAAATTTGTTTAAGCAGGTAAACCAGATACTTGTTAATATATAAATATTAATATAATAAAAAAAGATAGAACAAACTGATGTATTAAAAAAAAACCTTATGACAAGAGATTTTTATGTTTTTATTAAAGAAGTTAGAAAAAATCTATATTGAGTTGTGCTAAAAATTGGTGAAGTCAATTTCAAAGCATTATAGATAATAAAGGAGACAAAACAAATTATTAGAAATTAAGTATTTGTTTTAAATTAGTTATAATTAAAATTTGTGTGTCATTAAATAAATATTGCACAATTTAAATAATATTACTTGATTGTTTTAACCACTGTACCCATTAAATCTCATGTTTCTGATCATCTAGTTTGAAGGCATTTTGATGATCTCAATTTATATCTTACTCAATGATTCAGAAGAATGAAATTGGTGCAATTATCTGATCTATCATTTAAGTATAATGATTGCAACTATTAAGAAACATACCTGACATTTAATTGAGAGCATAAAAGGTATGACGTGGAAGGTCAATGGAGTAGTGGTGATAAAACATATAAACTTTTCTGATGTAATAGAGCTTTTAGTGGAATTCCTATAATAAATATCAACAGATAAACCAGATAATCAAATGGTACTCTGTAATCATTATACAGTATATACAATGAAAATATTTTAGCATATTCATTAAAAACAAACGAATTCACCTATTTTGGTTCATATATAACTACTATGAAAATACGGTTGCGACACGTTATAATCTCAGTGATGTAAACATGCGGCAAAATACAATTGTATTGGCTATAATACACATGATAAGTGTTAATCATGATACTGTGCCTGTAACATTTTTCAAAAACGATGAAGTCTCAGAAATAAAAAATACCTTCCACAGAGGACGTTCCACCTACCGTTGCTAGTACATCTGGCACATTTGATACAACCGCACAAGGAAAAGGTGTCGAAATATTAGAAAATGCACCTTCCCTACGAACGGAATTATCTAGTGGTAAGGTAAACTTAGAAATATTTTTTGTAGTGGAATCCCTCATAATCTTTTGCGAAAAAAATAGGTTTCGGAGGCCTTCACATAGGCTCCTCGTTAGCCCCTTCTAAAATCTGGGCCAAATACGGCGACAATCAACCAGTGAAAATTGTTTTCGATGGAGAAGATGTACACGACTTAAAAAAAGCGATCAAGAAGGAATTGCAAAATCAATTAGATGGTATTGATGTTAACCAAATTAATTTAAGAAGACACATTGAAGAAGATTATTTAGATCCTGGACTCATTGTTGACCAAAGTTTTGTGAATGACTCAAGCACACCTCTCCAAGTTTTGTAAATACATCTGGTACGTATCCAAGAAATGGGTTGGAATTGATATTACACGTTTTGCGAGTTAAAACGTAAACACCAAGTAAGATTATAGAAAGGTTTGAAGAGAAAGCATTGTCTCGGAAAAATCCTATAACTCATAAAATCATGTAATAAATACCACAGAAGCTGTGTTATATTAACATTCCAAGCTTACACTGTTATTTCATTTATTTATTCCTATTATACAGGATATCTTGGTGGCGACAAAAAAATTGAAAATGAAGAGCTGGAGAACTTTTGGAAGGCTTTAAAGGATACGAATTTTAATACTCGTGATAAATTCTTCCAACTGTCTGGGAATGCCCTTTTTTGGGGGAGAAGTGGACAGCCTTCGACACTGTTCATTCGTAAATGCTACAATGACCTGCTCAATATTGTTTTTGATAACAATATAAGGAAATTACGTATATCGGGTAATCCAGGAATCGGAAAAACCTTTTTTGGTTACTACCTACTTTATCACCTCGCATCTTTAAATAAAATCATCATATACGACATTCATACCATGAGTGGATCAAATCAGGTTATTTTATTTGAACAGGAAGGAGCCTGCTATCTACACAGAGCAAATGATTCTAGCAAAATTAGAATATATCTAAATAACCCTAACGTTTGGTATATTTTGGATGGTAAAAAACTAGATAAAGTTCGTGCCAAGACAATTCTTATTTGCTCTCCGTTTAAAGATCATTATAAAGACTTTGATAAGTACTTCGGGGCGGAAATACGGTACATGCCAGTGTGGGAGTGGGAAGAGATCGAAACATGCAGGGCTATAATGCACAATCATCTTAAAAAATCAGAGGTTAAACAGTTGTTTCTTAAATGGGGAGGGATCCCTCGATTCGTCCTGGAGAAGGCTCGTAATCAAACTCAACAAAGCTTGCTCGAAAAGGCAATTTCTGTATGTGACGAAAAGATATTTAATTATATCGGTGAAAGTGATAGCGAAAATGATGTCAGTCACAAGCTTATTCATATCTACACGAACCCTCTGATTGATAGCGATGATATAGAGGTCGAGGGTGGTGAAGGGGTTGAACATGTTGATGAGGAACCCTATACGCTACAAATTATGGCATTTGCGTCTGATTATGTGGGGGAAGAAATCACCAAGAAATTTAAATCATTAATATTAGACAAATTACGCACACAATTTGAACTAAGCTGTATAGACTATTCATGTTTAGGTAGCTGTTTCAAGCAGATGGCTCACCGGATATTACGAAATGAGGGAACTTTCAAAGTTCGTTCTCTAGAGTCCATTAAGAATAAAAGATCAACTCAAAATGTGAAAAATCAGAATGAGATACTTACGTTTTCTAATATTCAGACGATCGAGGATGGAAAGTACTATCGACCAGCTAATAAAAATTTTCCGTCGATTGATACGATTTTTGCTCCCGATATACTCTTCCAGATGACTACCGCTAGAAATCATCCTATTGATATTAGCGGTTTGAAGAAGCTTCATAGTAAATTAATAACTACGGGTGAAATATCCTTTTATTTTGTTGTGCCGGCAGAGTTATACGATCATTTTCAAAAGCAGAAATTTATCACCACGGATAGTGCTAATGTTCAGAAAATGCCAGATTGGATTAAATACCGTGTTAAGCAATACGCTCTGAGAATTTATTTGAGTTCTGAAAGTTCATCAAGTGGGAGTTCACTAAAAAGGGGTATTTCATTAGGAGAAGCTAGTTTGTTTTTTTTTTTTTTTTTTTTTTTTTTTTTAAAGTTAAACGGCATTAGATGCAAATTCTTTATTGATAACAATTTATCCATTACATCAAGCATCCTTTGTAATACATGACTACAACT